TGCCCATTCGCCTCCCAGCTCCAAGTGATGTGATCAACCTCATTCGGCATGAGCATTGTCCTGGTAACCCGGTCCCAAAGGAGCATATATTCGTCTAGCTGCTGCCCAGTGAGGTCGGGCCCGATGTCCAAGGCCCAATCGCTCGTTGAAACCGCCTGGTGAACCATCCGTGATGCTCGTGCGCTAGGTGCAATGATGGCATATATGGACGGGGCCACGTCCTGAACAGTAAAGCCATCGAGCCACCGGTCTTCCCAGAAGCAAGCCTTCAAGCCATTGCCAACCACCGTTTTTGCCGCGGCCCTGAATAGCTGCCTCGACTCCTCCGGAACTGCTATCTGGAATTCAGCCCACGGTCTAGATTGATCAGTATGCTGGAGCCATAGCCATCTAGATTGAATGGCAATGTTCAACCATCGGAGGTTGGGCAGGCCCAGACCTCCGGCCCACTTAGGTGCACACACAGCCTCCCAGGCCACTCTACATTATCAAATGTGTATGGTCCGGACCCTGACCCAAGCACGCACCAAAAGATACACCATCTCACCGCCCAAACCCAACCCTGCCGCCCAAATCCACCACCGCACTTCGCCTCCTCTTCCCGCCCTACGTCGCACAAGCGTTACTTGACCTCCCGCAGCTGCTATCGGCAGGGTCAAACTGCCATGGCGTGTGGCTGCGTAAATGGGTGACGTGGGTCGCCGAGATCTATGATCGGAGTACCAAAGCCCATTGGCTAGGTAGTTTCCACTCGGTGGAGACATCGGCACATGCATACGACATCAAGATGGTGCACTTGTATGGCGCGGCCGGCCGCCAGAACTTCCTCGACAACTATTTACCGCCCTCAGAGCTGTTGTACATGGCGGAGAAGCGCGGGAGGATCTTGCGGTTGAGGCTGTCGGTGAGGAGTACATGGCGGACCTCCGTCGACGCTACCCCGAGCAAGTTGAGGCGAAGTGCCGCCTGTAAATGTAGTACGCCGCCGGAAGGACCGAGGTCATCCGTCTGACAAAGAAGGCGACGACAACGGAGGCAGCGCTGGGAATAGAGTTGGAAACATTGGCGGCCGTGGCAGGGCCAACATCTTCGGTGGCAGCATCATCTTCGAGAACCCACTCGATGACACTGGACCGGAAACCATGATCGGTGGTTTGTCCGAAGGCAAGTGTCGTCGAAGAATCCGATATCGATTAAAATTATTAAGTTTTAGGCTTAGTTTTGGTTAAATTAGTATGTTTAAACTAAGTTTTGGGTGGTGGCATTGTAATTATGAATTGGCACCGGGTTTTTTTGCGAAAGAATTGGCACCGAATTTAGGTTAGAATGTTTAACAAGTATTTGTTTGCATCGAATTTGTGCTCGTTTGCACCGATTTAGTTTTTTACCTGGTTAAATTTAAGAGATCGGCTAGGTGCGGCCAAAATTTAATGAAGTTCTAAACCTATGAACCGGCTACAAAAGGCTATGAAAATTTCCATGTTTAACTAATGAAGCTTTAACTAATCTATCCCCACTGAAATTAACTGGGTGAGGCCCCTGCCTTATACTTCTCCAATGAAATGGTTTTTCTTGCGAGGTTTCTCCAATGAAATGTTTCCACGTTTGCAAACCCGTAAGCTACGTAACAATTGTTATGTACATATAGCATTACTAGGTTTACGTAACAATTGTTATGTAGATATAGCATTACTAGGTTTACTTGGCGGTTGCGAAACAATATGTGGTTGGATGGTTAGAAGGACTGTGGTATCCCAACCCATCAGGGTTCAAATCCTATGACGAGGTGGCTATGGTGACTTCGTAAATTTCAAGATGACATACCGGCTCAGTCTTTCGGAGGTGCTCATAGAGGTAGGGTGTGCGTATGTGCATTCATAAGGATGAGTGTATGCACGTGTATATGAGCGCTTGTGTCTGTACTGTGTTAAAAAAGGTTTACTTGGCGGTTTACTCCTTGATTTTTTAAGATTGTCTTGAGATGCCCTAATCACGTAGTTAATTTTCATACTTTCTTTTCGCAGGTGTAGGATTTTATTAGAAATACGTTCTTTTCGCAGGCGTAGGATTTTATTAGAACAGTTTTGCTAAAGCACATCTAGATGTGCAATAAGTATTGCACATCTAAGTCCTATATCATTGATCTTACGTTGAGATTCGTGTGGATATTTTTTTTCCTTTTTATGCTTCACTCATTTAGATGTGCAATAACTAGAGCACATCTAGATGTGCCCTACACACTTATTAAAAATATGGCACAAAGAAAAAGAAACTATGATCCCCCCAAAAAAGAAAAAAAACTATGAGGGCGATGGCCCCTTTACGTGCGAGATTTCTTTCAAAAGGAAAGAATAATCCTCGACTGACTACCCATGCAACTTGCTAGCTCGCTTGGCTAGGTGCAGCGAGAGCGGCGTAACTGAGAGCGGGATCATCTGGACACTTTATCCTGGTCCTATGTCCACCTCTAGGGATTCGGGCTAGTGGGTCCGTCTGAACAAATACTGGTTTAAGAAAATGGGGTCGTGTGACGAATACGGCAAAAAACAGGGATATACTGTCGTCCGCGGGGCGCGTTTTTGAAAAGTAGGTGATGGCGAGGAGCCGAGCCGTGGCTCGTGTCCGTCACAAAAAGCTGAGCGGTGGAATGGTGGATCGGAAATGGAGGCTGGTAGTAGCCATGACTTGATATGGCATCAGCCATGGAGCTATCTGCGTGCAGAACTGCTGGCTTGCGCCGTTGCGCGTGTCCAGCCTGCTGCTTGAAGCCCGGTGATGGCGAGGAGTAGGTGTGGGGCTTGCGATCTGTTCGGCGGGATCCACGCATCCGCTCGCTTGGGCACGCGCTGGGGGTGTTGCCACCGCCCACCGCTGCAGCCAGCAGCACAGCTTTAGGCATGGGCGCCGGCGGCAACTGAGCTATGCGGCGGGCGTACTTGTGCTGGAGCTCGAAGAGCGGGCAGAGACCATCCTACCAAAAAATAAATGGAAAACATCGACCTGCCTAAGATCACCTACGGGAGAAAAATCAGATGAACCCCAGATGAATCGACCAGATGGGGGTCCTTACGTCATAATCCACACACTTGTAGAACCTGATCCAGGATGCTGGCCTTTGTGGGTGATGGAAATCAGCAGGGGCTTGCCGCACAGGGGGCATTGTGAGTTGAAGAAACTCCTGCTGCGCGCACGGTGAGGAACAACCGGAGGCGGACATTGCTCCCAGATCTGCCAGCGGCGGCGGGGATGGATCGTATGAATGGGGGTGCGGGTTAGTCGTCGTTACCTGCCTCCGTCCCCACGCAGCGGAATAGGTAGGCTCAGAAAAACACCTGATCCATCCCCGCTTATCCCGTTCCACTTCGACGCGTCGGTTGAGCGTCAATTTAATGCGTGGGTCCTCGCCCCTTAATACTTTGGCAATACGGTTCACGTATACGGTGAGAAATGTAGAAAACGTGTGGATCCCGAGGAAGTCCAACGGACATGATTTCAGGACCAGCTATGCTCACGATCAGAAACGAATTTTTGAGGTGCAGCTGTTTACACTCTTTCAGCATATAGATTGCAAGATCTCTACACGTATCTCGTGTTATTTTGTCACAGCTCGCGCATTATTCACTGTACGTACGTAATGCCATGCCATGATCGTACAGTACGTACGGGTCAATCAACCAAGAATCTTTGAGTCTCTGTCCTTTCGATCTCATACACTGACACCTTCAAATCGTCGGTCCTGCCGTCTATAGCTTGCTAAGAGCAACTCTAGCAGACCCAGTAAAACGTCCCGCCCGTAAAAATTCCGGTGAGTATGGGGCTAGGCCCAATTTTTCGGTTAAAACAGAGCCCGCATACTCGCCCGGCCCGCAAACCGCACGTCCCGAGCAGTATAACTGCGGTTCCGTGACCCTTTTGCGGGTTCAAACCCTATCCCTCCGCAGCCGCGAGCCACCCGATTCCCCTTCCCCCCTCCGCAATTTCTCGTCACCGGCGACCACCCGCCCCGCCTCCAGCCGCCATGTGGGGCCGAATGTGGAGCTCCGGACGCGGCTCCGGCAGCAGATCCGGCCGTGAGCGCGACCCGGAGAGCGAGCGGCGCGTCCGGGCGGACGGCGCGAGGAAGCGCGGCGTCCGGAGGTGGACCAACTACGGGATGTCGCCGCCGCCGAGCTTCAACCGCCGCGAGACGGAGGAGTACGACCGCGGTAGCGCGTCTTTCTCCTTCGCGAGATCTTCCTACGCCGGATCGTCCTCGTCCTCCGGCACGGGCTTCCTCCCCGTGAAGAGGGAGTGGTCAGACTACGAGGAGGAGGAGGAGCCGCCGACGCCGTTCGCCTTCGTCCCGGTGAAGAAGGAGCCCGAGGAGCCCGCTCCGCTCGGCCGCCGCGGAGTCGTCAGGCCCGAGAACTACGTCGCGGACTTCGACGCCGTCGCCGCCGCCATCGCCGAGCAGAGCGTGCGCGAGGAGGCGGAGCGCCTGCGCCACGCCGAGGAGCTTGAAGCCCTCCAGTGGCAGCAGGCGGTCGCCGCCAATGTCGCCGCCAACGACAAGGCTGAGGAGTGGCACCGCATCCGCGCGGAGCAGGCGGCGAAGTACATCGACATGTGCAGCTCCAGCGAGGAGGATTGAGCGTCGATCGGCCTCCATGGCGTCGTCCATTTTGCCGCGACCTCGCCGTCGTCAGATCCGACTCCCTCTACTACTAGTTAACGTAGCATTTAGTATGATCTATGCTTAGTTTGTTGATCCTGTAGTATGTATGAACTATGTAGTATGTGATGTGATGAACTTTGTGTGTGTAATTTCTCCCGCGAAAGCGTTTTTTCAAATTATGCAGGTTTAGATGCGATATCTGATCGGCGGTGCATGTTTTTGACCCGCAAACGAGATGTTTGTGAAACCGCAAACGAGTTATGCGGGTCGAATTTTTGAGTGGTCTTCTAGAGTTGCTTGTTGTCTGCCTGGCTCACATTCGCAGCCTCTCTAATTCTCCATAGAGATGCATAGCAGTCCTGAGTTTGCTATGGTCACGGCGCCGGTTATTTATAGCCGACCCTGCAGCACGAGAGGAGTCACAAAAACACAGAGATCCATAGATCGATCACTCAAGCTAATTAAGACACGCATGGTCGTCATAAACAAAGCACAAGAGATGACCATGGCCGCTCTCTCCGTGCTCAACTGCCTCCTCAAGACCGTCCAAGCCGCACGGGCTGACGGCGACGCGCACGTGTGGATTCCGGCCTCCTCCTTCCCCGATGAGCTCCGCGAAACCGGCGTCGCTGCGCTGATCCGGGACGACGCCAAGGCCACGGCGCTCGCGTCCGCCGACTTTGGCAACGTGTCGTTCGCGCCGCCCGCGGCGGCTGTGCTCTATCCCTCGTGCCCTGCTGATATCGCCGCTCTGCTGCGCGCCTCGTGCGCACGTCCGTCACCGTTCCCGGTGTCCGCCCGGGGATGCGGCCACTCCGTCCGTGGCCAGGCGGGCGCGCCCGGCGGCGTCGTCGTTGACATGCCGTCGCTCGGGCAGCTCGGTGGAGGCTCCACTTCGGCCCGCCTCTCTGTTTCGGTCGAAGGCCAATACATAGACGCCGGCGGCGAGCAGCTGTGGGTGGACGTGCTGCGCTCCGCGCTTGCGCACGGTCTAACGCCGCGTTCGTGGACCGACTACCTCCACCTCACCGTCGGCGGCACGCTCTCCAACGCCGGCATCAGCGGCCAGGCCTTTCGCCACGGACCCCAGATATCCAACGTCCAAGAACTCGACGTCATCACCGGTGCGTGCCTGCGTACGTGCACACGCTTCGTATTTAATTAGAGCTCGTTCACTTATAAGTTCTTCTAAATATGTACTAGGATCTGGGGAGATGGTGACGTGTTCGAAGGAAAAGGAAGCCGACCTGTTCGACGCCGTGCTGGGCGGGCTGGGGCAGTTCGGTGTCATAACGCGGGCGCGCATACCGCTCGTGCCAGCGCCGACGAGGGCGCGCTGGGTGCGGCTCCTGTACACGGGCGCCGCCGCACTCACCGGCGACCAGGAGCGGCTCATAGACGTCGAGCGTGGCGGCGCGGTGTCCGGGCTCATGGACTACGTCGAGGGCACGGTCCTTGCGGACAAGGGCCTAATCGGGAGCTGGCGCTCTCCGTCGCCTTCGTCATCGTCTTCGTCCTTCTTCTCGGAGCCCGACGTTGCGGCGCGCGTCGCCAAGCTCGCGGAAGAGGGAGGCGGCGTCCTCTACTGCCTTGAGGGAGCGCTGTACTACGGCGGCGCAGCCGGCGGCGAGTCCGACGTCGATAAGGTAATAAACCTCGACCTTTTTGTCGGTGCGGGTGCGCGTCGTGTAGCGGCTGGTAAAGCTAAATATGGGGTCGCGACTTTTGGCCGCCTCCGACGTGGATGCATGCATGCATGCATGCATGGCTCCAATGGTGCAAATCTGTGCAGCATCAACGTCGTACGTAATTGCCTAGCCTTTGTCTGCCATTGGAATGCACATCTCACTCTCGCACACCGAACTTATTTTTCCTTCAGAAAAATAAATATATGATTTTCTTTTTCTTATTTCACAGTTTTCTAAATTTCGTAAAACACAGGCAAATAAAATTGTAAATCACGTGTGGAGTTTTAGCAAACATGCTTCTAGTCTTTTTTTAAGTATAAAAATGGTTGTTGGATGTCGCGTCAAAATGTCTTGGAAGAAGATAATTCGCCCAGATCCACTAAGAAAAAATCTGGCAACCTATCGTCAGACAATATTTCTAGCTACGAATTATATGTGCACGAACCTTGTTTGAAACAAGAAGGTTCATGCACGTATAACCTTATCTTCCTTAATCTAGATTTATGCAATTTTAAGTGCATATTCATTTTTTCATTGAATTAGTTAATTAATCCTAGGACTCACTATAATGACCAATTATGACTAGAGAGTAGATGGAACATACCCTGTCTCATCGGTCCATGGAGATACATTATGTGATATGTATATAAGCCTCTCACAAAACTAGCAAGTATACCTCTGCCAAAACTAAGTGCAACCAACCATGTCGACATGTGAGCATCGATCAATAGCAATTCCATGGAGTGTTATCCAGTACACCTTGTAAGTAGGTACCAACTTGGCTACCGCACGAATAAGATCCGATGCATGTGATAGGAGAGCCAACGGTGCCAATCTGTGCAGCATCCCTTGGAATGCACATCTCCTCGTTGCGGACCAAACTTCTTTTTTATTCAAAAAATATAAATATACAAACATTTTTTTTGCTACTTTGCAATTTTCTATGTGTCATAAAACACATGCAACTAAAATTACAAATGATCTACTCCCTCCGATTCATAATAATTATCGCTGCTTTGGTACAACTCTCCGATCTATAGTAATTGTCACTGCTTTAGGCTGGTCATAGTGGGGAGTAATTTAGACTAGTAACATGCATATGTTACTAGTCTATGTTACTATCTCTATAATGCATAGTATCATATATTAGTATCATAGGTGGTCTCATTTATTGCCATGCATGACACATAGTAGCATCACATTTATTATGTTACGGTATCTACCTATGTTATACTATAATCATCTCTCTCTTCTTTAATTGTCTGCCACATAAGCATGTTTACGAGTCCCAAGTGCATGATACTACTTATGTTACCCCCACTATGGCCAGCCTTAGTACAACTTTCTGATCTATATTAATTGTCGTTGCTTCAATACAACTTTGTACAAACATAACTTTAACTTTTTATTTGTGGTGGGGATAATGATTGGTGGATACCGGATCCAAATATATAGGAAGATAACATGCGATTAAATAAAATCCTTATCCACTAAAAATATATGGCAACCTATTATAAGAAAGTATTAGTAAAAAATTTATTTTCTCCCTAATTTCCATATATTGACACCAAAATGTTAAAGAATACAGTGGTGCAGATTGTCAAATTTTTTTTGTAAAAAAACGACTACGTAGTACAAATTATATGTGGAAAAACTTCAACTTTCTAAATCTAGAGTTGCACAATTTAAAATGCATAATTTCTTTCTTGAATTGATGCTCCTTGGGAGAATGTTACCCATAGTAGTTTTAGTTTGCTGCTTTAGAAATACTCGTCAGTGATCAGGGGAGAGAGATTAGATGCTTTGTGATTTATAAATGCCACATGTCATCCATCAGGGCGGGTTTCACCTGCAAAATATGAGACCTGGTCTAATATAATTTTTTTCCATAAAGATATATTACAGTATGTCATATATAAGGCCCATATCTCCCATACCTTTGCCAATGTTAAGTGCAACCATGTCGACATATATGCAAGCTTTTGAGCATCGATCAACAGCAACTCCATGGAGTACTATGTTACCAGTACACCTTGGAAGTACTACTAGCTAGCGATTCGGCAAAAAAAAAGAGGAAGTACCTAGCTGACTAGGGCACGAACAAGACACCCCCAAAATAAAAAGATCCGGTGCATGTGATGGGACGCCCACGCTTTGGCTCGAAAGTGACAATACATGACCACTACTTCCGTGCATACTACACGTCACACCGAGGCTGCCACCACTTGTCAAAAGGTACTAACTCGCTCGATTACCTTTTGATGATTTGCACGGCATGGTCCTACAATTCTTTGTCCTGACCTCTTGCAGAACAGATCATGGTTTGTGTTTCCGTACATATAGACTTTTCAGCCGGTAGAGGGAAATATTTTAAATGCAGTACGACCCACATGCGCATACGCATGTATACTCATTTCTATTAAGCATACACGCACACGCTACCCCTACCCTTATGGGCACCCCGAGAGATTGAGCCGACATATTATCTTGAGATTGACGAAGTCGCCACATACACTTTTGTAGTTGATGCGAACGTCTCCTCTCGCTAAGCACACATCGCCGAAAGGCCTAGAATAAATCCAAAAAAATACAGGTGCCAGTATCAACTCTAGTACTTGAACTCTGGTGGGCAGTGGATACCATTGTCCTCCTAGCCATCCAACCACATGTTGATTCACGCCGGTTAAGAAAAAATGTAAGATGGACAAGCACGTTAAATTCCTGGATGTATATACACCCTATATGCAAGAAAGATAGTAATTACCATCAAAGCCAAAAAAACGAAACATTTATTGAAATAAACTTGAGTTGTTTTCATATAAAAAGTTTGGCCAAGAAAAAAATTCCATGGTATTGTTGGTGGAAAAAAAAGTGGGTTCAGGGAAAGTTGTATTTGCTTGGTAACTTCTATATATTGATGTTTTTTTTTCTTTTTGTCCTTGAGATTTTATTTTATTTTGCCTTGTAGTTGACCGGAATTTTTACCTTCAGAAAACTTTTATACGAGTACAACAAAAGGTCAAGTTTATTCCAACAATAATTTAGATTTTTTAGATTTTTTTTCATACCAGGTGTATATACAACCCAAGAGCCAAAGGGTATTTTCCAATGTAGAAATCTGCATATACTCCTATGCGACAACTTTGACACGTCGTTCGTGTATTGCATGCATGCATGCGTATAAATTCTCAGAGTGGAGAATTATTAACCGGTCACTGGCGCGTGCATGCAGAAGCTGGATGTGTTGCTGCGGGATCGGCGGTACGCGCGGGGCTTCGCGTCCGTGCAGGACGTGTCGTACGTGGGGTTCCTGGACCGTGTGCGCGACGGCGAGCTCAAGCTCCGCGCCGTCGGCCTGTGGGACGTGCCGCACCCCTGGCTCAACCTCTTCCTTCCGCGCTCCCGCGTCCTCGACTTCGCCGCCGGTGTTTTCCACGACATCCTCCGCCGTGGCGCCACCGGTGCCATGGGCCCCGTCCTCGTCTACCCCATGAACCGCAACAGGTGGGACAGCGAGACGTCGGCGGTGTTCCCAGAGGAGGAGGAGGTGTTCTACACGGTTGGGATCCTCCGGTCGGCCGTGTCGGATGGCGATCTTGGGCGCCTGGAGGAGCAGAACGAGGAGATCTTACGATTCTGCGAGGAGGCCGGGATATCGTGCGTGCAGTACCTGCCGTACTACGCCGACCAGACCGGTTGGGAGAAGAAGCACTTTGGTCCAGCCAAGTGGGCCAGATTCATGGAGCGGAAGAGGAAGTATGATCCCAAGGCGATCCTCTCCCGTGGTCAGAGAATTTTCACGGCCCCGCCGGCTTGATCGCAGCACTCATGCATGCTTGCCCAGTTGCATGGCCCCGTATGCCCCGTCAAGAGATGCACATTCTCGAGGAAATGGTTTGAGTTTACATCATGTAAGATGCTGGTCTATTACTAGTTTTGCTGATGATATTGCATGCGTGAAGTTAACATGAATCTAAAATAGTCTGCATAATGAAGCATATAAACATATGAACTACAAAGGGAGTTTCCTTTGTCACGGTATAAGGGCATTGCCAACGGCGGCCCATAAATTTCCTCCGGCATCAGTCCGCGGATACGGATGCTGGAGGCCGCCATCCAACCTTAGCCGCATATATCTGGTCTTTCTTATTCTTTTTTAAGTCCACATGATCAAATAGCCGTATACATAGGGTACATACGTTTAAATAGCCGCATGCAACAGTAGTTCAAGTTTTAAAATACTCAAATTTACATCCCAACATTGTTTTCCCCTTTAACCGTTCACTGATGCTCAATCAGATCTTCCTTTAGCTGCTCGTGAGTTGGTCGATGCCGAATCTGTTGATGCATTTGAATAAACTCTTCAAATATGCCCGGATTCTGGTCCGGAAGTTGGATAGGATTACCCACGTTCTCAAATTCTAGAGCTGCGGTAGCATCATCACCCTCATCCTCGATGATCATGTTGTGCATGATGACACAGGCTATCATCACCTCCCACAAGGTCTCTGAATCCCATTATTTAGCAAGTCCACGAACAACTGCAAAACCGGCCTGCAGAACTCGATCCAAATGCCCTCTCAACATCCTTTCTAGCTGCTTCTTGTCTTTGGGTAAAGTGAGCCTTTTCTGACCAACTGGGTTAGAGATGGTGCTGATAAAGGTAGCCCACAGAGGATAGATATCATCAACAAGATAGTATCCCAGGTTGTACTCATGTCTATTAATAGTATAGTGCCACGAAGGAGCTTTTCCTTCAGTGAGCCTTGCAAACAATGGTGATCACTGCAGCACATTGATGTCATTGTGAGACCATGGAATGCCAAAGAAAGCATACCAAATCAAAAGATCTTGTGATGCAACTACTTCAAGAATTATGATGGACTTCTTAACATGATCCTGATATTGCCCTTGTAAAGCCTTCGCGTAGTTCTTCCATTTTCAATGCATGCAATCAAGAGAGCCAAGAAAACCTGGCCATCCTCTTGCTTCTGAGATTGCAAAGACCCTCTCGGTGTCTCGCATCATTTGTTCTCTCGGGTACTAAGATCTGAACACCTCGACCACGACAGTTGCAAACCTTACCATCACATATCCGCATGTGCTCTCAGACATCCATAGGTACTTGTCCCACAAATCAATGAAAGTGCCATATGCAAGCATTTGGAGTGTGGCCATGCACTTCTGGTAACCAGAGAATCCAATCGTTCCCACGACGTCCTTCTTCGGGATGAAGTAGTCATCATAGGACCGGACGCCATGATACAAATGACCGAAGACAGTCTTGCGCATCCGAAAATGCCAGCGAAAATGGCCAGCGAAGAGTGCATTGGGGACAAAGTAGTCGGCTATCAATGTCAAATGGTCGCTGATACATCTCCAACGTATCTATATTTTTTTATTTTTCCATGCTATTATATTACCCGTTTTGAATGTTAGTGGGCTTTACTTTACACTTCTATATCATTTTTGGGACTAAGAGCAACTCTAGCAGACCCCACATTTTGCCGACCTGTAAACTTTGTTTGCAGGTCGCACGGGGGGTGCTTATGCGGGCTGAAAATTGCGGCGGCAGACTAGAAACCGCAAACAAACCCGTAATTTTTAAACAAAGTTGTTTCACGCGAGAAATTTAAGTAGTTGCTCGCCAGAGCTCGCTCGCATAGATGGTTCTTCTTCGCATAATAAGTTCGTACACGTCACATACATACATAAAGGTCAGAGAAGCTAGACAGGGCCTACGCTACCGCACCACTGCAACAAAATTGAGCTCACCGGAGCTCCTCCGGTAGCTGCCCACCGGCGGCGATCAGTCGGAGTTGGAGGAGTTGGACGGGAGGTCGATGTAGAGCTTGGCCTGCTCCGCCTTCATCACGCGCAGGTCAGCCTCCTTCGATGCATGCGCCTGCGATGTCGTGACGCCCGTCTCAAAGAAGAGCCGCTCGTACTCGAGCTCGCGCCGGATGCGCTCTTCAATCTCTTCCTGCTCCCTCGCCGACCGCTCGAGGACGACGCGCTCGAGGAGCTCCTCCTGCCTCGGGAGGAGGTAGTCCTCAGGCACGATGATGCCTCGGTGCGGCGGCGTATCGGGCACGGCCTCCTCCGGCTCCCTCTTCACTGGAACGAGCAAGCTCGATGCGCCCGCGGATGAGCACCCCATGGACCCGTGGCCAGATGACCTCCCCACGGACCCATGGCCGGATGACCTCCCCGTGGACGAGTTGCCGGAGGAGGCGTGGCTGTGATGGGCAAGCTCGAGATCGAAGTCCTCGAGCTCACGGCGGTTGAATGCCGCCGGCTGCCGGGCACCTTTCTTGATCCACCGACGCGCCCCCCGCTTGCGCGCGCCGTCAGATCTGGCGCGAGGGCGGCGCTTCGCCTCATCCCCCGAGTCGTCCATGGCGGTCGAAGGCTCGTCGGCGGCGACAAATCCAGCGGCGCGGTGGGGAATTGGAGGGGAACGCGGCGGCGGGGGGATAGGGTTTCGACCCGCATCTGCCCCGCAAACCCGCAGTTATACTGGCTCAGGGGTTGCGTTTGCGGCCTGCAGCAAAAATATTTATGTGTCGGACACCGATGCGGGCTTTGGTCTGGCCAGAAAAATGGGCCGAGCCCATATAATCGCCAGAATTATGCGGGTTTGCACCGAATGTGGGGTCTGCTAGAGTTGTTCTAACCTACTAACCGGAGGCCCAGCCTGAATTGCTGTTTTTTTTGCTTATTTCAGTGTTTCAAAGAAAAGGAATATCAAACGGAGTCCAAACGGAATGAAACCTTCGGGAGCAATCTTTTTGGAACAAACACAATCCAGGAGACTTGGAGTGGACGTCAACAAGCAGCCGAGGCAGCCACGAGGGGGCAAGGCGCGCCCTAGAGGGGTGGGTGCGCCCCCATCCTCGTGGGCCCCTCATGGCTCCACCGACCTACTTCTTCCTCCTATATATATCTACGTACCCCGAAAACATCCAGGAGCACCACAAAACCCTATTTCCACCGCCGCAACCTTCTGTACCCAAGAGATCCCATATTGGAGCCTTTTCCAGCGCTCCGCCGGAGGGGGAATCGATCACAGAGGGCTTCTACAACAAAACCATAGCCTCTCCGATGAGTTGTGAGTAGTTTACCACAGACCTTCGGGTCCATAGTTATTAGCTAGATGGCTTCTTCTCTCTCTTTGAATCTCAATACAAAATTCTCCTCGATCTTCTTGTAGATCTATTCGATGTAACTCTTTTTGCGGTGTGTTTGTCGAGATCCGATGAATTGTGGGTTTATGATCAAGTTTATCTATGAGAAATATTTGAATCTCCTCTGAATTCTTTTATGTATGATTGGTTATCTTTGCAAGTCTCTTCGAAATATCAGTTTGGTTTGGCCTACTAGATTGATCTTTCTTGCAATGGAAGAAGTGCTTAGCTTTGGGTTCAATCTTGCGGTGTCCTTTCCCAATGATAGCAGGGGCAGCAAGGCGCGTATTGTATTGTTGCTATCGAGGATAAAAAGGCGGGGTTTATATCATATTGCTTGAGTTTATTCCTCTACATCATGTCATCTTGCCTAATGCGTTACTCTGTTCTTATGAACTTAATACTCTAGATGCATGCTGGATATCAGTCGATTTGTGGAGTAATAGTAGTAGATGCAGAATCATTTCGATCTACTTGTCGCGTACGTGATGCCTATATACATGATCATGCCTAGATATTCTCATAACTATGCACTTTTCTTTCAATTGCTCGACAGTAATTTGTTCACCCACCATAATACTTATGCTATCTTGAGAGAAGCCACTAGTGAAACCTATGCCCCCAGGTCTATTTTCCATCATATAAGTTTCCAATCTAGTTTATTTTGCAATCTTTACTTTTCAATCTATATCATAAAAATACCAAAAATATTTGTCTTATCTTATTATCTCTATCAGATCTCACTTTCGCAAGTGGCCGTGAAGGGATTGACAACCCCTTTATCGCATTGGTTGTGAGGTTCTTGTTTTTTTGTGTAGGTACGAGGGACTTGCGTGTAGCCTCCTACTGGATTGATACCTTGTTTCTCAAAAACTGAGGGAAATACTTACGCTACATTGCTGCATCACCCTTTACTCTTCAAGGGAAAACCAACGCACTGCTCAAGAGGTAGCAGTCGCACGCCCTGTTGCAGTTGAGCACTCGATGACCCTTGATCGAGCCCTTGAAATTGAGAACATGCTCCTCCGTACGCTCTGATGTGGCTTGAAACTGTGTTGATAATTCCCCAAAGAGGAAGGGATGATGCAACACAGCCGCAGTAAGTATTTCCCTCAGTTATGAAACCAAGGTTATGAATCTAGTAGAAGAACCAAGCAACACTATGTAAACGGTACATGCACACAAAGAACAAATACTTGCAACCAGACGTGTAAGAGAGGTTGTGAATCCCTCTACGGTTAAAAGATAGATAAAATTGTGGTGGATTGGATAAATAGATCTTGCAAAAATATGAAATAAAATAAGTAAAGAAAAAGTGCAGCAAGGTATTTTTTAGGGGTTTGGAAATATAGATCTGAAAGCAATATGATAAAAGATAGACCCGGGGGCCGTAGATTTCACTAGTGGCTTCTCTCAAGAAAATAACATACGGTGGGTAAACAAATTACTGTTGGGCAATTGATAGAAGAGCAAATAATTATGACGATATCCAAGGCAATGATCATGTATATAGGCATCACGTCCAAGATTAGTAGACCGAAACGATTCTGCATCTACTACTATCACTCCACACATCAACCGCTATCCAACATGCATCTAGTGTATTAAGTTCATGTAGAAACGGAGTAAT